CGCGGCGCGCGCACCGCGCACGGACCCTCGACGGGAGGGCCGGGATGCGCGGCGGAGGGGCGCAGCGCTGCGCGGCGGCTCGCCACGGCCAGGCCTGGCACATGAACACTCCGCGCCGCCGCCATGCGCACCGCGTGACGTCACGGTTACATACACGCGGCGGGCGAGGAGAAGGGGCTGGTGCGCCACGGGCCACAGGCCGGGCCGCAGGCCGGGCCGCAGGCCAGCAGATGCTGCAGATGCCTGCCCCGCCGGCCCGGCCGCCCTTCCTCGCCCACGGCGTCCTCGCCCTCGGCGTCCTCCACCTCCCGCACCCCGCGGCCCGCGCATGCGCGCCGAGCTGCCGAGCAGGAGCAGATTCGCGGTGGTGAAGGCTGGGGCGCGGCACAGGGGGTAATCACTTGCTATGTATTCTTCTGTACGGATAGAATACTGCAAAATGCATATGCACACCTTTGTCGAAAGACTTGTCCATACACAAGAGTACTTTGTGTGAATGCTGAGATTTTGGGACAGCCCTCGCGTCCCCACGCCGTGTCAATTGAAGAACCCCTCGCGCGGGCCCCAACCCACGCCATTACTGATTCTGAGAGTCTTTTCCGTCGCTCTTTCTGTCTTTCTCGCGCTCAAGGGGTGTAGTGAATGAATAGGTGCGAGGGAGACAGAGCGACGAAAACGACTCTCGGAATCGGTCCGCTGGCCGCCAACCCCTTCAGCGCCTTCAGCCTTCGGCCCCCCTCTCCTCGTTGCGCGCGACGGAGGAGAGGAACATGCATTTCGCCGGCAGCCTGTTTTCGGTTCGGGCGGGACCTTGGCGAAACAAGTCAGTCCTCCGCCGCGCTTGCCGCCCTCCGCCCTTCACTACGCCGATGGCTGCCGATGGCTGCCGATGGCTCCCCTTCCGTCCTTCCGGCCGCCTCGTCATCCTGCGCCATTAGCGGGCTGGCCGGGCCTTGGTTTCAACACGGCAGGCCGCGGCAGGCCGCCCGTGTGTCGTCCTTTGTGCGGCCTCCCCGCCCACCAGTCGACTCAGTCCCGTCCACCCTCCAGCCTGCTGAAAGGACCGGGACCCGTCTTACGAAACGCGCGGGGCAGCGGGGCCGGCCGTTGTCGCTCTGAACCGGGCGGCGGCTTCGTGTGTACAGCGTTTTGTCGCTCTGTCTCTCTCGGATGCCTGCGTAGCGCGCCAAGAGTGCGAGAGAGATGGGAGGCCTAGCAGCATGTGGGCGACGCGCGACGACAAGAACATCCCCGTCGCTGCGGCAGGCAGGACCATTGAATCCCCGAGGCCCGTCGCCTGTCCATGTCCATACCTGCGGCATTTAGAAACGCTTTTCACGTGGCGAAGGGCGTGAGCGGCTGAGGGGACGAGGGGCCGGCCCGGGGAGGGCAAGGAGAGGGGCGGCGGGGGCACGCTCAGGGCTACCACGCCATGAGCAGCATGTCTGGCTGCGCGCTGCGCCGCGCCAGCAAAACGAAATAAACAACCAGCACAGCGTCTACAGATTTTATGTGTCTGCGAGACGGACGAAGCACGAAGCGGCGCGCCGAGGCGAGTCAAGGAAGGCTCGAGGGCTGGCCGGGCTGCACGGCAGAGGCAGACCTCCACGCCGGCGGCCAGGGCGGACGCGGGGCAGGGGGGCGTAGCGTAAGGAACAACCGGCATGGTCGCCGTCGTCGTGGAGGTCTGGGTGGCAGGCCGACGGCGGCGGCACAGAACGGGAAAAAAGTAACATCGGCAGCGGCGGAGGAAGGTATTTGCTTCACACACACACACACAAGTATATTCTCTCACACACGAACATACGCGCTGTACGCGCACGCACGAATCGACTGCTGCTGCAGTCCTCTTGGAAAAGGGGCAACTTGTTTTCGCCAAGAGCGGCGTGGTGCTGCAGTGCTGGTTGGGCGTGCGCTGCAACCTGGAACGTTGCAGTGCATTACCATACCAGCTCGAGCGCGCAGCCCCGTGCAGCAGCCTTCCCCGCGCCTCTCCCTTCCCTTTTCGCAAACTTGGCGAGCGGCGACCACCTCTTGAGCGGGCCGGGGCCGGACCGGGGCCGCCGGTCTGGTCCGTCTGGTCTGACTCGGCAACCAAAGCGCCGCCCGGCTCCGCGCTCCGCCACGCCATACCAGAGAGCTCCTTGCTCTCGCCGCCCCGCCGCTCCGCCTCTGCTCGGTCCGCAATCCATTTCGCGCTGCATCGCGGCGTTGCCGGCGTGCTCGCCAGGATACGCCCCTCGGCGGCTGCATCGGCTGCGCGGCCGGCCCCCCGTTTGGCAACGGCGCTGCGGTGCGCTGGCCGGCCAGTCCGGCGGAGCGGGTTAGCAGCACCGCGCCACGGCCTGCGCCCGCCTGCAGCGCGGGGCGTGGCGGGGCGTGGCGGGGCGTCCTGAGCGTCCTGAGCGTCCTGGGCGGCAAGGCCCAACCCGACCCGCGAGTCGGCGACCACCGCGGCGGCGGGGCGGGGAGGCGCGCCGCCGCAACCGAGTTATTAGCACAAGGTCGCCGCGTCGCTGTCGCCGCGTCGCAGCCTGCGACTCGCAGCCGCCTGCCTCGCCGGCTTCGCCCTGCCGCTGCCGGCCCTGCCCTGCCGGTCGTGCCGGGCCGGGCCGGGTTGCCCGCCGGGTTTCGCAAGTCGCAGAGGAGGAACAGGAGGAACAGGACGAGGGCGCTGGAGAGCCGCACTGAGCGGGAGGGGAAGCGACGTGGCAAGAGCGAAGTGCTGGCGAAGTGACGTCCCCGTCGGCGGCTGCTGACTCGTCCACTCCCCGGGGCGTCGCGACGCCGCAGCTGATGGAGGACGGCCGCGGGCTGCCGCACAGGCCGCGGGCCCCGAGGCGTGTCGTTGATGTTCTTGTTGTTTCCGCCACGCTGTGGTGACCCCGCCGGATGCAGTCCAGACGACGGTGAGGTCCACGGCCACGGCAGCCAGCCCAGCCAGCGCCCCGTTCGGCCCCGTTGCGCCCAGCAGACTGGTTCCGAGTGGGAGGCCTCTCACTCTCTCGCCCCCCATTGGGCGAGAGAGGCGCTCGTAAGGGTGCGAGAGAGACAGGACTGTTCGGAACGACTGCACCGGTAGCGGGCAGGCGAGGCGGTGGGACGAGACGCGGGCGGCGGGGCGCCCGGGAGGTAGGCAACTCGTGTTGCTAGAGCCAAGTCAGTTGATCCTCCCTACCCTTCCGAGCAGGATTTTTCCGCATTCTCACGGCGCTCGCAGGCCTCGAAGCACCCGTGCAACGACAAACCAGTTGTTTCCCAGTTTCCGGCGAATCTGTGTTCCCGGCGGGCAGGGCTTAGCGGGGAAGACACCCAGGCAACTCGCCGCGACCCTTCAAAATATTTCCGCGACTCCATTTCGGGGCAATCATGTTTAAGGTTTAAGGTTGGACGTTCAACAAACGGCTCTGTCAAGCATGAGCCTCTCACTGTTACTTGGCGTTCCATAAAGGAGTGAGAGAGACAGAGCGACGAAAACAGAGCTCGGAATCAGCTCGCTGGAGGACCTTTTGCGGCTGCGTGACTGTGGCGCTGGAGCTGCTGGAGCCACATCCCCGACGGGCTGCGGGCTGGGGCCCTGGGGCTGTGTACGCGAGCACGCATGCCGCCGCACGCTTTGCCTCTGACGTCGCGCCCCACGCCCCACGCCCCACGCCCACCGCGCAGGCTGCCGAGCGCCTCTCTCCTTTTAGCCGCATTAGCGGGTGTGAGCCAACCTAACCCAACAGCAACACGGCAACACCGAGCAACACCCAAGCCGAACCGGGCCACAGTGGGCGGTGGAGGCGGCCAAAACTGTGGACGCGTTTTGAGCTCCAGAGTCGCTGAATGGGACTCGAGCCGAGCGTGTGACCCCACCAATGGATTGCTCTCCGAACGAGGAATCCATTGGTGGGGTCACACGTTCGGTTCGAGTCCTGTTTAGCGACTCTGGAGCTCAAAACGCGTCTAGAGTTTTGGCCGCCTCCACCGGTCCTCTGGCCCACTGTGCGGGCCCCGGCCTGCCCGCTGTCGCTGCTGGGTGCACGGAACGTCGTCCTGCAGGTCTGCCACGCCGTCTGCCCGGTCAGCAGCATCAGACCCTGCTGCATTGTCTGGCTGTCCTGAAAGTTCCTGGAACGGCCGGCCGGCGAGCCCCGTGCACTTCCTCGAACACACCGTGCCGCCACTGTTAGCCGCCGGTTCTGCGAGGACCAGTGCGTCCAGCCGCGCAGTGCGTGGCACTGCGTGGTGCGAGCTCAATTAATTTAATCCAACGGGGGTTAACAGTGCGGCGCGGCGGCCCCGTCCCGACGTCGCCCTCAATCAACGCCGCAGGGCCGCAGGGCAGTACAGCAGCATGCGAATGCTTGTCGCCTGGCGGTCGAGCAACGGGCAGAGAGGAACATGGCGCGCGGCGAAGGGGCCGGGGCTTCGTGTCGCCAGGACGACCGAGCTCCAAGCCACGCCGTCGGGGCAGGGCAGGGGCCGCAGGCAGCCGCAGGGGCTCAGCTCAGCGCCATGGCGACGCGGTGTGGCTCCGAGGCGCACCGCGCACTGCGCACTGGCAGACCTCGGCTCTGGCCGCACCGCCGCGCCGCGCGCTCTCTCTCGACCATGACCAGCCCGATATTTTGGCGGCTCCCTCCCCTTCTCGGCCGCTGGCTCTGCGCTGTGCAGGTTGTGACGCGGAGGCCCGAACCCCTTCCCCTTCCATTCTACCCGATGGCTGCCAGCCTCGTCGGCCCGGCCGGCGGTGTTGGTGGGGGAGGGGAGGGGCGAGGGGAGGGGAGGGGATGGGAGGCGACGAACGGGAAGGAGGGGGAGGGCGGCAGCAGCAGCGCTCGAGTACGCCGTACAAGTGGAATTTTAAGTGCCGTGGCCGCTGCGCGGCTGCGCGCTGTGCGCTGCGCGTCGTGTCGCGTGGTGGGGGGTTGTAGTGGTGGCTGCATCTCCCTCCCCCACCCCCTCCTCCACCCCGCGCTGGGCCTGGCGACGCGGCACGGCCGCTGCGGCAGGCAGGCAGCCAGGCAGTCAGTCGAGTCCAGGCGAGCGAAGAAGGCACATCGTGAGGAGCATAGCCCTTGTTGCGAGCTATCCCATCCGCGTTCTCGTGCTGTCTCGTGTTGTGTGCAGTGCAAGTCCCCAGACATGGCCCCAGCGGCCCCCTCGGAGTGATACCGTTATTTCTGTGACCCTGTGCAAGTGAAGCGCGAGCGTAGTGGAGTCCTCGGCCTTGCCCAGGATAGACTTGTTGTTTGACGTGGCCTTTGCTTGCGACGTGGACGCCACCATGTCCGTGATGCAGCCCAAAAGGCAGCACTGTTACCTGTGCGACCTGCCGCGCGCGCCCTGGGCGCTGCTGCACGACTTCAGCGAGGTGGTGTGCCGCGGCTGCGTCAACTACGAGGGCGCGGACCGCATCGAGTGCGTGCTGGACGGCGTGCGCCAGCTCAAGCGCGGCGCGTCGTACCTCACACAGGACGTGCCCTCGCGCCCATCCGCGCAGTCCTCCAAGCCCGTGGCGGTGCGCACCGCCCACGAGAACGGCATGGAGGTGGCCAGCATGCCGCCGGCCGCGCACTCTCGTCCGCAGCCCGCGCCGCAGCCGCACCCCGCGTACCAGCATCACCACCGTGGGGCCATGCTGGAGTACCCCGGCGGTCCGGGCGGCCCTGGCGGCCCGGGTGGGCCTGGTCCTGGGGTTCCGCCGCCCCCGCGCAGTGCCGTGGCCATGCCACGACCCTTAGTGGAGGCGCAGGCCCAGGCCCAAGCCCAGGCCGAGCACGACGCCATGGTCGCCCGTAGCCGTGCCGGCGTTCCCCACGGCGCTCAGCTGGCTTCGGCGCCGCCAGGGCACCACGCCCTGCCCGGCCAACAGCAACAGCAGCAGCATCCCCAACAGCAGCCGCCGCCCCCGCAGCCGCAGGCCACTCACAACGGCAGGCCCAACTCTCTGCCTCCGGCTCCCGTCACAGTCAAGCGCGACCTGGACGAGGACGAGCACCACCACATGATGAACGGGGACGTGCCCGGCGCCAAGCGCCTCATCGTCGAAGACCCGGCCGGCGTCCCCGTCGGCGTGGGCGCCCCCCGGCCGCCCCTGACGCGCGGCGAGTCTCTGCCCGCCGTGTCCATGGCCGCCACAGCGCCCTATGTGCGCTTCAAGCAAGAGAAGCTGCCCCTCAGGGCGCCTTCCTTCGAGTCCGGCATGTTGCAGCAGCAACAGCGCAACGGTAAGGATCTCCACCCCCCAGTGTAAACTAGACAGGAACCTAACTCTCAACCTCGGTCCCTTAAGCACACTCTTCTCTTCCCGGCTCCAATTGGCAAGGACATTGTTAGGGTGGGGTAAAAGGTGGCGGACAGATAAGAGGAAAGAGGGACTAAGTAGTCCGGAAACAAGTAGGGCCACTTCGTCTGGCGTGCCAGACTGGCAGTGGGAGCGGGAGCTGGCCGCTGTGGGGCTGCAAAGGCAGTGCAAACGCCACGACACCACGCTAAAACCAGAGCAGAGGGAAGGTCAGGGGAAGCCGCTGCCTGTCTGCCTGCCTGCCGTCGCCGGACCGGCGCTTTATCGATAGCGTTTCGACTCGTGGGGGTTTCCCTGTTTCCCGTTGGCACAAGCCAGGCCGCTCAGCGCCCCGGTCGGTCCCCGGTCGTTATTGACCCACGCGGCAACCCGGCGATCCGACCGCCCGGACGGCGGTAGAATTCCGTTACCTTCATCTTTTTTCGCCTCTCGTGTCGCCATCCGCGATCCGCGTATTGGTCGTATTGTTCCTGGCGGCATGGCGGCGTCGCTGGGGGCTGATACCGCAGCGCGGCGTGCCGGCGCGGACGTGGCCGACGTGCCCGGACGCGGACTTGGGGGGCCAGCCAGCGGCGCCCCGGCAACCCCGGCAGCCACAGCGACGTGCGGCCCTGCCGTCGCCGTACGTGACGTGACGTTGACGGCCCGCTGGCACCGCGCCCCGCCGGGCGTGCCCGCGGTGTTGTGCCTTATGCCCCGCAACGCGAGGTCGCCGCGCAGCTTGGCTCAACCTCCGCGAGTACACCACGTCGGACGGGTGGCCGCGGGGGAGTCGCCATCCGCCCGCCCCTGACTCACACCGGCCGTTCTGCAGGTTCTGCCGGCTGGAGTAGGACCCCAGGTCAGTTCTCCGGCGCGCATTGTCGCCGGGCTGCGAAGCGACGCTGCTGGTGCGTCGCGACGCTTGTGGCGCGGCGCCGCCGTTACGTCATCAAAGCGGCCCAGCTGAGCGGGCGGCAGGCGCAGGCAGGGCGCGCGGGGGCTACGTGTTGGGGTTGTGGCCGGGCGCTGCAGCACGGCCCCGTTACGCAATGCGTCGGGGGTCGGGCCGCCGCAGCCCAGCGGGGGTGTAGGGGGATGGAGTGCGCCGCCGCGCCGCCCCCCGAGAGGCGAGGCTTGCCGTTGTTGGCAGTCCAGCCGTGCCGGCCTGCCGGTGTGCCGGTCGGGCGGGCTATTTCTGGCTTGTGTGGCCGCCGATGGCTGCTAGTCGCGAATGATCGGAGCGGCGTGCCGGCGTGGGGCGGCCGGGCCGGCGCCAGGGACGTCAGGGACCGGCTCTGGGCCGCACCATGCCACACCTCGGCTCGGACCACTGCTTGGAAGGGCGGACCAGACCCAGCCTGCTGCCTGACTTGCGGCCCGGTTGGCTGGTTCATTTCCATCAGCGACCGGTTCGGACGAAAACCCGTCGGGCAAGGCGCGCGGCGCGCTGCGCCCCACCACACTACTGTACTGGTCGCGCCGGCCCGGCACGGCCCGGCCGCCGGGTTGTGTAGGGCCCCCGCCACTGCGGACCACGGGCCGCGGCCCGGCTTGCCCGGCTTGGAGGAGGGAAACCAGTTATCGTGCCAAATGTAGACGTGGTAAACAGCCGCGCCCCGCAGGCCGCAGCCTCCCAAGACGCATCGCAGCCAGCACAGTCGCCTCACGCCCCCCGCCCCCTGCCCCTTCACAGGCCCGGCAGAGTTACACGCCTAGTCGGGCACGCCTCGGGCGCGTGGGTGGCCGTCGTATACAGTCGTACAGTACAGCGCGGTGCGGCCCGCTTCGTAACCGCGGTGACTAACGCGGTCTTGGCTGGCAAGGGCGTGCAGCTTGCATTCGGTATTTGTTGCATTCGGGACGACTTGACCTCGGCGCCGCGGCCGGCGCGTGCGCGTGCTTCGGGCAGTGCAGGCACGCTGCTGGCACGTGTGGTCGCCGTGGTCTGAGCCTCCCCCAGGCCGAGCCGGGCCGCCGCATTCCGACTTATTTTCACGGCCGGGCCAAGCCTATTTGCTCTGGCCGCTGCCCGCGCCGCTGTTTGACCTGACTGGATCGTCGTGCCGGTCACGGCGCGGTCGACTCGCGGCGCCGTCCAGGATACCGGTTCACCTCCGCCGTGGACTGGGCGAGCGCGTCGTCGGCGTTGCCGCGGCGGCGGCTGGCCGCGTGCCAACGGCGCCCTCTCGCCGTCCGTCCGCCTCGTACGAGCGGCGCAGCGGCAAGAGAACGAACGGGCCTAAGGTCGACGTCGGCGACACTTTTCAGAGTCCGCGGCGGTCGGCACTTGGTGGTCTGGCTGCGGCCCAGCGCTGCCTTCGTTGAGTCACCAGGGGCGTAAAGCAGTGTGTCGACGCGGCCAGCGCGCTGTCCGCCCAGGACATGATGCCCGTGTGCCTGACGGCCTGGCCACGGCCTGGCCGCCTGGCCTGTGGAGTCCGTGGAGCGTTACGGGCGGCTGTAGCGGCTGTAGTCACGCCAGGTGGGGCCCGGCGGCCCGGCGCCGCAGCCATCTTGTCCCGAAGCTAGACACGCCCTTCCCTTCCCTCTCGTCGCCGTGAACTTGGCCGCTCTCCTCGGCGTCTCCCTCTCTCCTCTCCGCGGGTAATGACGGCAAGGGACGGGAAGGAGCGCCGGCACCGCCGGCACCGCGTCGCCCCTTCGCTAACGGCCCGCCGTGCCGCGGGGCCGCCGCGCCGTGGAGCTGGGCGTGGTGGCGGTGGCGGGGCCCTCCGTTTATTTTGGTGCGCCGCGGGCCGGTGTCTTGGGGTGGGGGCCTCCCCGTGGGGGCCGCGCAGGATCAAGGCCTGTCGTCGATAACTCGTTGTTTACCCGCCTGCCAGTCACCCAGCCCCGACGCGCCCGCCCCGCCCGCCGCGGCCACCGGGGTCACGTGCCCAATGCCGCCCTGCCCCGACGCCCTGCCCGGCCCGCCGCACCGAAATAGAAACGCCCCACCCACCCCCAGCGACGGCAGCAGCAGCAGGCAGGCGGGGGTAGCGACCGTGGTGGCGACCCCCCTCTCCTTCCCCCAGGTGGTGGGGGGCGTGTGTTTACGGGGGGTCAAGTAGGCGGTGGTTAGGTTAGGTTTGGTTGGGGGTAGGAACGGGATCGTTCTGGGGGTGGCTGGGCGGCGGGCGTCGCACCTGGACACGCGGTGCGGTCTGGACGACCCCGGCGTCCCGGTCGTCCGGCGTACGGTCGTGGAGTGCTGGAGAGCGATTGAATCAATGAATGAATCAGTGGGCCCCACCCCCACCCCCACCCTAGACCTCAAGCAAGACGTCTCGCCGGCGCATTCAAAGGCATGGCAAGCAGCGTCCTGCGCCACTGTTGTTTTGGCACTCGCCCGTTCAAGCTGGCCGTGCTTGGAACACTCTTGGAACGGACCGTTGCCCGAGTGGGCAGCGAGGCGGGACTGCAGTGCAGGGGCGGCGGCGTGGCGAGCGTGGCGGTGCCGCCAGTCCGTCCGTCCCGTGCCGGTGATGGCCGCGCGCCGCGCCAGGCCGCACTTGCGCCGCGCCGCCACGCTCCGACTTCCGAGGCTCGGCGGCGTTGCCGGGCTCGCCGGGCTGGGCTCGCCACGTCTCGGCCCCGACCGGCACGGCGCGGTTCACTGGCCCTAAAGTAAGCCAGCACCGCGGAGGAGGCAGGCAAGGAGGCGGAAAGGAACTCGAGGAGGAGGAGGAGGATGTCGTTGCGGCCCTTCCCTTCCCTTCCCTTCCCGTCGCGTGATCGTGGTCCTTCCTCGCCGCCTCCCCTCCGATTCTCCGATCCACACACGTAAGACGTTGTTGGGACGGAACGGACCGGGTTTCCGACCAGCTTTCCAACCGGCGGCGGCGGCCGCGGTTGCACGCCGCACCGGGGCCTGGGCGGAGCGCGGGGCCGCCGCTGCCTGGCTGCCGACGTGGACGTGGACTCGCGTTCCTGGTTCGGAATGGACTTTCTCTCCGCGGGGCCTGTCTTGGCCTGCGCCGTTCACCGCCTTGCCCTCGTGGCGCCGCGCCGTTACGCCAGTGCCCCGCCGCGCCACCTGTGCGGACGGCTGCACCACGCCATGACCTCTCCAGCCGTGGCGTGCGGTGCCGAGCCGACCTCTGGAACAAGGACACGCTCCGCACTGCTCCGCACCCCTTCCCTCCCAGTGACGCGCCGGCCGGCCAGCCAGCCCTGCGGCCCTGTGACGTCACGGGGCGGGGGAGGCCTGCCGCCAGGCCCGCCAGGCCGGCCGGGGTCGATGCGGATGGCGGCATGGCGGCGCGCCCTTGGAGCGTAGGGCAACGCCGCGCCCGCCACGCCGCGCCCCGGCGTCGTACGCACCACGCATGCGCAGCGCACTATAAAGGGCCCCAGACGTTGACCCTCTCGCCGCCATGTTGCGCGTTCGGGGCTCGGGGCAGCACGGGGCTCCCCCGTTCCCTTTTCGGCGACATCCTCCCCGCCGAGCCCGAAGCCTTGCTCGGCGTCGCATGGCGGTCGGGATGTCCTTGGTGCGGAAATGCGAAGGACGGCTCCCCCCTCCCTCCCCGCCTGGCTCGTCCCGCTTCCTCGCAAACTCGCCACTTGGCCTTTCCCCTCCCAATCCGCGACACGGCAATTCGCCGCTCCCCGCTATCGCCGCACTTTTTAAGGTCACCTGTACGGCGCGGCGCTGCGTTCGAACGCGCGAGCCGACGGCGACCTCTGGCGTGCGAAACAACCCGGTGGCGTCGAGCGTTGTGGCGACCGTGGCTACGAACTTCGAACGCCGCTAGGCGCAGCCGCTGTTGCCGGGTCGTGGCAGTGCAGCTGTTTTCTCTTCCTTGGTGCATCCGCCACCCCTCCCGTTGAGGAATGAACCGTGCGCGCTGTACCACATTGGCGGCGCGTGACGTCACGTCAGCACCACGTGGCAACGCCGCCGCGCCGCGTTCCGCGGTGGAAAAGGGAAGGGAGTGGGGAGAGGACGAGCGACGAGCCTGCCTGCTGGCTGCCTGCTGGCGTGGCCGGCGCGGCGCGGAGCGTGGAGCGGGCGAAGTGGCGCGGCGGGGAGGGCGGGGCGCGGGGCGCGGGGGGTCGGGACGCGGGGCCGGCGAGGCGCTCCCTGCCTGCACGTTCGTCCTCTGACGTCATGCTCGTGGCCTTCTTTCTGGCGGCGTCGGTGCGGCGTGGGAGAGGGGGGTGAGGACGACGGCCGGCCCGCTCGCGTCGCGGCAGCGGTGGCGGCGGCAGCGGTGGTGATGGTGGTTGCCAGCCAGACCCAGCGACCGAGACTCGGCCGCGGCACAGGCCTCCCTCCTCCCCCCTCTCCTGGCCGTGCCGCCGTTGCTGCCGCCGGTTATGCAGCGATGGTCACGTCATGCGGTGTTGCCGGGCGCGTTGCGCGTTGGCAGTCCGCTCGCCTGGTGAGCATTTGCCGCCTCTGCCGCCCTCCGCGCTACGCCCGCCCCGTGAGCCTCATGGCGAGCCTCATGGCGAGGCGGGCAGCGGGCGGCGTTGCCGAGGCGGTGTCCGCATGACGTCACGTCATTATCAGCGTGCTGGCTGATGGCCGGCCGGGCTGTGCGGGTAGCTCCACCACCACCGCCGTGGCCGCGGTGCTGCGCTGTGCTGCGCGCTGCCGTGATTGAGGTGATTGCGCGGCGACGCGGCGGCGATGGCCAGTGGCAAGCCAGTGGCGCGGCCACGCTATCGCTATCGCCGGCGTCCTCGCGTCCGCTATCTCTTATCGCGGGCCTGGCCCCGCCCGGGTGCCGGGGGCCCGGTCCGCGCCCGAAATAGGTGTCGCGCTAAGTCAGTGGCGCGGCCGCCGTGGCCGGCGCGCGGCGCGCGTGGGCATGCCGTCGGCTAGGCCGCCAGGGCGACGGGAGCGAGATAAACCAGAATCGCCGAGGCCGTAGCGATAACGCGGGGAACGGCCGGGAAGGTCGCCCGGAGCGCGCTGCGCGGCGCTGCGCCGTCAGGCCAGTGAATGGTGAAGGGCCCAGGTTCACCTGGACGCCGAGCCGACGCAGGCCGAAGCACACCCCCTGGCCAGGCTGCCCGCCGGCGGCAGGCAGTCCAGGCCGGACTGGAAGCGCCACGCGCGCCGCCCCGCCTTGACCCACCGCGCCGCGCCGCCGCCACGCCGCGCGCCTGATGTGCTAGCTGCTAGCCTAGTGGGGTAGGTTAGTCTATCTCATGCAACTCCCCGCCGTGGCGCGGCGCGGCGTTCTCGTCGACCCTGCTGATAACGACCGGCCACGCGGAGCCACGCGGGGTGGGGCGGCGCGGAAGGCGCGGGCGGCGCGGCGCACCCTCCCCCTCCTCCCCCGCCCCATCCGCCCTAGCCGCTTTCGCGGTGCTGCGCGCTGCACGGTGACTCAGGTCTGCGCGGCAACATGGCAGGCAGGCGGCCTTTGTGAGGGTCTGCAGAGCTGTGCGCATGCGCGCGCAGGCAGGCAAGGCAGCCGTGCCGTAGGCAGGCAGGCGAGGCCCCTTCCCCTTCTGCCGGAGCGGGGCAAGCGGAGCGCCTCGCGCTTGCGCCGGTACCGGTGTGGGCACACTGTGGGCCACACTGTGGGGCTGCTGGCCGTTCTGGCTCTGCGACTGCGAGGCGGGCTCCGATTCATGCTTGCCGAACGGCTGAGGTTTTCAGCGTTGCGGCGTTTCCTTGTTTGCATTTTCATTTGGTTCCTTCTCTCTCTGTCATTCTTTCTACTGTAGTAGGACTGTGACCCTCCTTACTTCTAGACTGTAGTGTCCAGCGGTCTTACACCCTGGTGGCGCCAACCCCTTACCTATCCTAAGCTGCTACTTCCACGGTGCTGAAGTCAGCTCTCTTGCGGCATATGTTGACGGAACTGCTTCTGCTAGAGTAGAAACGCACTACGTTACGTTTTACATGTCGCACACTGTTTCTTGAGTTATTGTTTGGGGCCCTTTGTCCTTCTTCCAGTGATATAAATCGACTCTAAACTCGACATTAATTGCGTTAATTTCCTAAATGTGTTAAAGTACAGTATTGTTTACTAAATGGCTGGACTCTTGTTGAGCAGCCCTGAGCCTCACCCCAACGACCATTCTGACCGAAAGCGTAAACGCCACTAACAAACCGAGCCCACCATTAAATCCACACTAAAATGTCAATCACTCCTGTCTTCCTCTCGTCTCAGTCTTGATGTGAGTGATTTCAACTAAACTTGCTTTATGGCATTGCCTGACACAGGTTACCCCGGGGGCCATGGCGCGGGCCATGGGCCAGGCCATGGGCCAGGCATGCCGGGGATGGCCATGACGAACGGAGGCTCGGTTTCCCCCCTGGGCCCCCGCACTGGCTCCCCCCCTGACCAGCCCCAGCCTGCGGGGGGCCCACTCCCGCTCCCGCCCCCAGCCGGACCCGGCGCGAGCAGCGGACCCGGCGGACCCGGGCCACAACAGCCGGCGAACGGCCCAAACCCGAACGGGCCGAACGGGCCCAACCCCATGGCCGCGCTCATGTCGGTGACGGACAACCTGCCTGCCGGGTCGCCGCGGAGCGCTGGGGGCAGCCCTCCTGGTGCCCCCGGCGTCAGTGGTCCTGGGGGAGCCGGGGGTTCGGGTCCCCGGGCCGCCTCGAGGGGCTCCCAGCACTCGCCTAACTCCACAGGTACGCTGTCCGCTGTCCGTGTCCGCGGCAGGACGCCTTGCACGCCCTGGCGGCCCTGGCCCTGGTGCCGCGCCCGCGCAGGCCCGCGCAGGCCCGCCCCCACCCCGTAACGCTTTGAGCAGCCAGTGTTGCACCGGGCCCCACCGCCCCACCCCTGCCACGTCACGACCTCGGTCACAAGTTTGCCCGAGTGGCGTGTTTTCAGGGCCTCGAGTCAATTCATTCAACTCTTGCGTCAATTAATTTGCTTATATTTGTCGCATTCCTCGGTTCACAAGCATTGCATGGAATCCTTAGCTGGAAACGCCATATAGTAAATATATTTGTTGCATGTTTTTTTTTTCCATCTAAAATTTGCTCTCCTAAACATGTTTTACCTGCTCGTGCCTTTTAAGTCACGTCACATGTTTTTCGTTCCATAATTTTTTGGTTTACTCTTCCCAATTTATACCAAGTCACCCGTTATGCTTCGCTATTTAGTTCTTGGCTTCTTGAAGATTGACGCAATGTCGCCGCCGGCCGGATTACATACTTTGGCCGTACCAAAATGACGTGGACTTACCCGGACGTTGTCTGTTTCTTGTGTTGCGCAGGATCAACGAGTGGACGACGGTCATCAGGCAGCCGCCACGTCAGCTCCACCACCGTCACCTCCAGCGAGGCGCCGCAGGGCGTTGAAGGGGGCCCGGGCACCCCGAACGGCACCCCCTTGAGCGACGCCGTCCCGCAGGGCCCCAACGGCCCCAGCGGCCCCAACCCCGCCGGGCCAGCGCCCAACCCGCCCACCAACGGCACCAACACCTCGCCGGGGGCCGGCACGCCCGCGCCCACCAGCACCACTCTCAAGTGCACCCTCTGCCAGGAGAGGCTGGAAGACACCCACTTCGTGCAGTGCCCGTCCGTGCCCCACCACAAGTTCTGCTTCCCCTGCTCGCGGGACAGCATCAAGCGGCAAGGAGCCGGCTCTGAGGTACGTTGTCTGGTTCGTGTGTTTTGGGCAACCTCGCCTATGCTGCAAGGAATGCACGGTGACTCGTTGAAGAGAGCCAAAGTCATGTTTGTTCCTCACAACACTTTCTCTCGATTAATGTGGGCGTATCTCTCTCTGTTCCGCAGGTTTACTGTCCAAGTGGTGACAAGTGCCCATTGGCCAACACCAACACCCCGTGGGCCTTCATGCCGGGCGAAATCAACACCATCCTTGGAGAGGACTTCCCCGTAAAGGCAGAGAAAAACAAGGCTCGGGAGAGTTAGGGGCACGCCTCAGGAACCTCGGCCGACACCGGGGTGGCATTCGTTTCTTTGCCCAGCGAGGCTGTGATGCAGATGATGCAGAATCCTGCTCAGGAGCCTACGCGGGTTAACTCGTTGGATGACCCACAACCCACTGTGAATGCAGGTGAAGGCCAAGGCGCTGCCACTTCTTACGCTCGCCTTGTGAATGCATTTGACAGGATTGACCCTTACGCGATTGGGCCTGGCCCGTCCGTTGGTCTGCCTGGGTGTGAGTGGGACCAGCCCTGAGGTTGTTTGAGGGTTCCTCGCCTTACGTCTTCACGTTGATGGAGGTTCATGTTAATGTTGTCATCAGTCAGTTTTGAATTTTATTGTTGCTGGTATGGTAATGTTATTTGTAAGATGGTAGGATTTAAGGCATGTGGAAGCCTGTTTGGTTAATATTGTGTCCACTTTATTTGAATTGGGATGCCATACTATGAAGTATGTTGCTTTTGACAACTGAAAGCAGATTATGAACTAATTTGGTTTGCAATGTGGGACCTCATTACAGTTTGTTATATGTTAAGAAGTCCTTTGCCGCTAGACCATTATCATTGTGTCCGTATCGTACTACCATATTTATATATGTATAGGTTCAGTTTCGACAGATTTTTGCTTACTGTTTGGTACCCAAGTGTTTCTTGTGTATTGTGATGGTTTGCTCAATGGCATAACATCTACAATGAATAATTACTGTAGTTTAAAATTTATGCAGTCAACAATTATTGTAGTTTAAAATTTGATTAATCGTTTCCTATGATATGACCATTATTCTAAATTCAGCATACAATCATGCAAAGAATTTTGAATTTTTTGTAGTTTGTTATTCTTAATCTGGACGAACTTGTACTGGCAAAAATATATAGTGCTTTTATTCAATGTCAGGTAGTAAGCTTTCCTTCTGTGGCTATCACACTGTGAATACAGAAGCTCAGTAACAAATTGATAACCCTTCTCTAGATTTCTGTATTTTACAGCTTAAAATTGTTCTAAACAACATTTACTACATGGGCAACCCTCTAATTTTTCACTGAATAATTATGTAAATACTATGTGCGAATATTTCAAATGTGTACATAGTTGTATGAAACAATAGATCTATAATTCAAATTTATGTTCTAATTTAAACATTAATGAAATGAAAACCTTGTAAATTTGTTCAAGTTCATTTGTGCAAAGTTCCTTGTGGGCATTTTTATGTTAATGTGTATGATAATACCTGTTCTAGTAGAGTAGACCACTTCATATCTTGTTACCTTTCTATACTCTATGTCTTATTGCTGAAGTGGCACTTCCAAAATGCTCATTTCATATTCTTTTTAAATTGTGTGCTTTTTTCCAAAAGAAAATTTATTATTATTTTACAAGTTATTGGACATAGGGCAATGTCTCAAATGTGTCCGTGCTAGCAAACCCCAAGGATCTGCGCAGAGCGCAATCTGGAAAGAGGAAAGTCCCAGTCTATAAAGCTTCCTTGTATGATTATTGTTTTAATCCTAGTCACTGATTGCCAGGACGACGTTGGCTATGTTGTCCCATGTATGGAACTCCTAAACTCGCTGGTGTGTGTTAAAACAAAACAAGTAACCCTTGTGTAGCCTAGTTGTATGGCTTTCCAGCCGTTTAATTTAATATGTACTAAAATGTATAGAAACCTCTAGTGAACTCCCTCTTGCTGCTGTCAGAAAGTGGTTATAGACTTTCAAAAATTCGTGTAGATGTATTTACAAAGCTAGTTAGAATTTTATGTGTTTGAGATAAATCCAATTAAATTGGTTCTAAATTGATCTTTGATAATTGTTGTAATGCCAGTCCGTCACATGCCTTTTATCTTTATAATCAAAGATCTTTTGTTGACAGACATTTCATCTCAGGTTGTTCCCCTACATTTGTTTTAATTTGGCTATATTTGTCTCGATGTGTCAGTGTTAGCTGCTACCTTATCAATGAATGCAAGGAAGAAGTTATGGTTACACATCTTTTTAAATTATTGTAGGTGGTAGGATGGCAGGTGGCTGAAAAGTATATAGGGGTCTTCTCATGGTGTTAAGTCAAGTTCTTTATTTATTCTCAGTAGTATAAAGTCTTACCCAATCTGAAATTCTTGCTTAGTTGATTCAAACAAATGTTGCCTGCGCCAATTCCAAACAAGCATATTATTTCATTAACCACCTTTGGAAGAGGTTTGTTTAATGTCCAACCTTCCATGTACAACATTGCAACCACCGTAATAACAAAGAACTTTTCTGAAAGTCAATAAACTATTTAAAAGCCTTGAAGTATAATCAAAATGTGTTACGAGCATACCTGTTATGTTGTGTCGTGAACAAAAGTATGATGTCCTTGTGTATGTGAAATGCAATCGTTGCCATTCCTATGGTACTTAATTTGTTGTATCCTTGCATGAATGAAGTTTGATGGAATTGAAAATGACTGATGATAATTGCTGTGATTTAACTTATGGTGGCAAATTACAAGCAGATACAACTTACGGTTGACTTAGGCCACCACATTTCATTTGAGCGTCCTGACATTATAAACATCAGTGGACTAAATGTTTGCAGAAGAAGATGGAATGGGGGTGGGAGTGAGTCTGTAGTTTTGTATTGCTAATTATTAGTTTCCTTGTGAAAATTGTAAGAGCTATTCAGTATTTTTTTTTTTTTGGAATGAGCAAAGGAGTATGTTTGTTTCACTAAGATAAGTGGTTGGTTAATTTTACACTATATCTCTTTGTATTTGTGTATAAATATACAATTTGTGTGTATAGGTGTTTCTTTTTTAATTTAAAACAAAATATCATATAACCATGTGTGTGACTGTTTTTTGTAAATTGTTTCTATTCATATTGAGTGCCAATTTCTTTTGTTGATATTCAACATTTTATCAGTTACTATTGTTTTAATCAAAATGTAGATACATATTAAAAATAAAGCAAACCACTATGTATGATTTGGTGAATTTCTTTTAAAACTATGATCTGTCATCATCATCATTTATTGTTTGAACAAAATACACTGTATCACATCTTTATTTCCACTTGTTCTTACTGTCATTTGATTTTATCATACCTGCTTGTAGTTTTAATCCACTTCCATTTACACTGCAAGGTAAACATTCATGAAATAAAACTTATTTTTTGTGTTACCTGAAAGTACGTATTGTTTTTTGGAATAATCCATCCAAGCCCAAATTTTACTGAAGTAATGCCATGATCAGTACCCAAATCTGCATAATCATCTCTCCTCTTCAAATTTTGGTTAACACCTTCAGGCATAGTGAAGAGAATCGTTTTGGTTTGAAATTAAAAGAAAATGCCTCTTTGAACTAACGATCAAGCATTACAAGCGTTGTCTGATGATTGGCGAATAAGTACTTTGCAGGATTACTTGATTTGACTTCGAGCCATATTTAAACAATGATGGTGACTCCACAATTGACTCACAATAATCAAAATTTCACCATCAACACTTCTTTTACCATATTTAAAACAATATCAGAGAGCAAGAACAAGCTGTTTAGCACACAAATCTCGTTTATGCAACAAGGGTGTTCCTGGAATACGCATCAATGCCCTAAGAGACAAAGTAAAAATAGTTTCAAAAAATTTATTTCCTAGATAGTCGCCTGGAAGGTAGGCAAAAAGTCATACTTGACCCCTGGAAGTAGGAGAGAAGTGCTACACCGCCCCAGAAGGGGTCTTTAGGACGACTCTACCCAAAAGCCGCCTCTTGATCCGCCTCTGGTATTTCCATGGAGTATTTCCAAAGGGTGGACCGGCTCTCTGGGAGAAACTTTCAAACTTTCGCGGTGGCGACCGGTGGCGGTCTCTGGTGGCGACTTCCCTCGAGTTCTGGCAAACCCTAATATGAATGTGTGTTTCGCGTCACAACAGTCTGCTGGCTGAAAGAACTGATCTGTGAACTTTGTTTGACTTGTGACTGTCATTGCACTCAATCAAAATGCCTCAAGTCTAATCGATGGAAAGGTGATTGTTCACTGATGATCTATATATAATGTCATTTTCTTCGTTCATGGTACGTAGACATTCATAATGTCAAAGTTAAGATCCTTCAATTTGCTGTCATAACCTAGAACTCCTCATGAGATGGGTCATGGTTTTTGTTTTATCAGCCACAAACGAAAACATTGGCATGCCTTGCGATGAGGCAACAATCTGATAAACCGTTTTCTGTATTTATTTCACTTGTTTGGATTGTCACTAAGTTTCTTTGGGTCGAACTCTCTGTCTGACAGCTTTTCTGGGCCATTTATTTTGACCGTTTACTGGTTCACAAACTTTCTTATGATATTAATGCAAATGAGTGAATTGCTTAGACCTATTGTTAGTTCCTTGTTTTCAAGAGAATGATTCTGCATTAAATTTCACCAATTTGTATTCATTACTAATTTTTCTTTTGTCTACAATATCTTCTCTTCTTAGTTTCCCTTTTCATGATGTGAATCAATTATTTTATTTTCCTAGGTTCTCATACGTAATGCATCATGCTAGAAGGTTTGGTTGCATGGGTGCTCAACACCTACTTGGGCAAATATGTAGAAAATCTAAATACTCACCAGCTCAGCATAGCCCTCCTACAAGGTAAAAATATATGCCATTCAGTATGTTACATTTGAGATTTGTTGACAACAACTTCTTTATTCAACCAAAAAATTTCGGTAATTATTTTGAAATTTCAGGTGAGGTAGAATTTGAAAATTTGCCTCTGAAGAAAGATGCCTTGCGTCACTTTGGTTTGCCAATTCAAGTACGTGCAGGGTTTATTGGGAAGATCAAACTTCAAATCCCTGTGCGAGCTATTCGTAGTGCTCCATGGGTAATACAAATCGAACAACTTTATCTTGTGGCAGGACCTGTACGTCTCAATGAGGTGAGTACAGTTTAGCTGGCTTTGTATTTCTGCACTGTCCCTATTAATTATCAGTTTACATCACCATCTCTTAAAAATTTACAGTGGGATGAGGAAACAGAAGAGCAGGTTGCTCAAGAGTATAAACTAAGTGTTTTAGACAATCTTGAAGCACAATGGCGAGCAGAATTTGGCAACCAAACACAAGGTTCAAGTTATTATGCTTCAAGCTACTCATCATGGTTAAGCTATGGAACAAGTCTTGTCACCAATGTGGTTGAAAATTTACAGGTTTGTTTTCTTATTTTTGAGTACATGCATAATGATATCAATTACTTTCTATTTGTAACATACTCTGCTTTCCATTTTAGCTCAAGATAATTGATGTGCATATTAGATATGAAGATGACATCACTGTTCCAAATGAAGCATTTGCCTTTGGCATAACTTTGGACACTTTATCTGCTCAAAGTTGCGATGACACATGGCAACCGCGCTATTTGTCTGGGGACTCAGGACCCAACAGCTTCAAGCTTTTGGAACTCAGTGCATTGGGTGTGTATTGGGACAAGCTTGATTCCAGTGGTCTGCTGGGTGATTTATCTCTTGGAGATCTTGCGGTATGTAAATTTCTTCCTTCAACCTTCCAAAGTTAAAAGTCTATGCTTTCAAGACAAATACAAGTTCTCTCTTTTTTGTTGCTTATAGGTTGCCTTGTCTCAAGTGGGCGTAAAATTCAAATCACATAATTTTTTGCTATCTCCTGTCAGTGCTCAAGCACATGTTAAACGCAACCGTTCAGAACAACCTTTAAGGTCTCGTCTACAACCTAGAATTGTTTGTGATTTGCATTTAGAAGAGGTGCCCTTATCTCTCTATGATGTAAGTTTTTAAAGCTCATTTAACCATTGCAATATAAATAATGTTCTTAACTTTAATTAATTCTGCTGATGTTATGTAGTGGCAATATGGGCAAATGGTTGGCTGTCTAAAAGGCCTCCAGACCATTGAAAAGATGCAAAGATTCCGAAAATACCGTCCTGTTTCCTCAGTGAAGGATGATCCTAGGTCATGGTGGATGTATTTAGCCCAATGCAACAGTCCCCGTCTTGTAAGTACAAATCTTATGTGCGAGGGAAATTGATTTTTTAAACCAAATCTGTGTGTTTTGTGTATATATCTTACATTCTAGTTTTGGCTAATCAATTATTTTCTGACAGATCCAGCAAAACCGGGCACACACATGGGAAGATGCTTTAAAATTAGCTAAAGAAAATGTTCAGTATGTAACAGCTTATGAACAATTGTTGTCAAACCCCTCCATGACTCTATCAGCACAGACTAAAGAGATGAAAGATGCCATGGAGCACACTCGATCTTTGGAAGATTTAAGAATATTAAGAGAGGTATTTAGTTATTTCCACAACAAAAAAAAAAAAAAGGAAACTACTGAGAGAGACTGTCCTCCTTATTTCAATTTCTTTTCTCTCTCAGGTTGCAATGCGTCGTGTTTGTCCAGCACCCCTTCCTGTGGACAAGTCATCTCCTGCAGGGAATGTGGCCACAGGTGCCTCAGCTGGCCGAGGCATTCTGCACCAATGGTTCCCAGCTTGGTGGGGATGGTCAGAAGCTGAGCAAGGCACAGTGGAGGGTCTAGAAAGCAGCGTAGAGCAGCAGATTGAGGGTCAATTATTAGATGCCCTTGCTGACACTGTGGACAACAACTCTCTTCTCCGCAGGGACGTTGTGTTTTGTCAAATGAACTTTACCCTCAAAGAGGGCACTTTTCATCTCTGCTCCCTAGAGAAAGAGCAATCAGAGCAGCAGGGGGAACAAACACAAGAGGACACAAAGTAAGTAAATTTTATCCTAGTTTCAACCTCATGTATTTTCTTTAAAAGTTTATGTTTCAACTTTTTTGTGTTCTTTTCCAGAAGATCAGTTCTTGAGCTTCAATTTGAAAATGTTCAATTGAACTTGGAATCCCGTCCTCGTACTGGCTCCCAGCGTATTAGTGTTTCTCTTGGTGGAATCTATGTATGGGACAGGTTGACAAAAGACACAGTGTTTCCTGTTCTTGTTGCACCCCAAGGTCATGATTCTGCGCCGAGTGCTTTGGCAGGCCGCGGACCTCGAGCTTTTCCACCGGGCCTTCAACGTCTTCGTAGCCAGGGTTCTGGAAGTATAGGTGCAACTTCCACCCCTAACACAGCCAGACGCACATCACAGACAGAAGAAGCTTTGTTTGAGTTGGTCTATGAACTGAAACCCTTTAATAGCACTTCTGACTATCGGTTAGTAGTATGAAGCTAGCCCTTGGGCTTTTCTCAATTGAAATTATCTTGTCACTAAATATTAAGTTTGTAATCCTCCTTTGATTTGTGATGTTCTATTAGACTCCATGTGCGATCACAATCTTTGGATGTCGTCTACAACCCAGCTGCAGTAGAATGGCTAACCAACTTCTTCACGCAGCCATACCAGCAGCTTGATGGGGCGCTACGTCAAGCAGCCCGTCATGGCTACCAAGCTATGAAGCGTCGAACGCGACAAGAACTCATGAGGAACTGGGAAGAGCTACTCGAGGGTCATTTGGTTGGTAGTATATGCTTTCCTTTCTTCATTTCTCGTCATTCTATGCAAGTCAAAGTTTCAATCCAAGACTCTTTTTTTTATTTTTTCAGAGCAACAGAAAAACGTGGGAATTGGAGCTGAATATATCAGCCCCACAAATAATCCTTGTTGAACATTTTTGTGACAAAAATGCAGTAATTGCAGTAGTTGATTTTGGACGGTTCCATTTAAGTACTCAAGATAGTCACAGGATAGAGACTCAAGCACCTCCACCACTTATTACAACAACACGGGATAGTGATGATGAAGACGGTAACTGAACTGCATTTGGTAGCATTGCTGGTGCTTCAGTGACTGTAGTCGTTTTGCTTATTGTTAATTTTATCATTCTTTGTCAGATGCTTTCCAAACACCATGCTCAACTCCACCAGGGAGTGCTGCTAGTGAGTCTGGAAGTGAAAAGGATGAAGTCATTGATGAAACCTTAAATTCACAAATGTCAGGCGATGTTAATAAAGAGGGCCTAAATGAATGGTCTCTACATCACAGATTATATGATAGGTAAGTTTTTCAAGTCACTCAAGTTTTGCCAGTGCGTGTTAATTTCCAGTTGCTTTCCCCCTTGTTTTCATGTGTATCCTGTTTTCAGGTACACTGTTGAATTTGGTGACTTGCAAATCCTTGTTGGGAAAGTTAAAGATAATTGGAAGTATGCTCATCTCAAAGGGACCTCCACGTTACATGTCTTAGACAGGTTCAACATCTCTCTTCAGGTAAATCTGCAATGACACATGGACATTTTTTTTTTTTTTTTTTTTTTTTTTTTTGCATTTGACCAATTTTAAACTCTTACATCTTTCTTTAGATCGAGAGACGAGTTGTTTTTACACGGGACCCACAATTTCCTAGTTTAACTGTTAGCGGAAACTTGCCAAAGCTTGTTGTACACGTCAATGAATCAAAAATAGATGCATTACGAACTATGGTGGACATAATCAGTGGTCGAGGTCTACCCTCACCATTCAGGTGGGCCCTTTTACTTAAGTTCTAATTTTTTTATACATTCTTCCTTTCTTTAAAAAATAAAAAGTAATATTTGTAGATCCCAAGAGCCACCAACAACTAAGGACAACAGTGAAGTAAGTGATCCAGATGAAAACATGTCAGCTGAGAAGGATGAAGAGATTCACATTGAAAAAACTATGTCTCGTCTGGTGATGCTACAGTTTTCTATTGACCAAATGGCACTTGAGGTAAGAAAAAATAAATTGATTAGTGAGGTTTTACTGGCGTACTTTCATGGTACCACAACTTGTTTCATTCTTATCCTCAGGTACAGTCAAGAGGAAGATCAGTGGCTGAATTGCAGGTGTCAGGAGTCAGGGCGGGATTCACAAAGAGACCATTTGATACTTCATTATCACTCAGTGTCCATAGTCTGCTGTTAGTAGATGCCCTTCAGACATTTGGCCCAGATTTTGAGCTTCTGGTTGCTAGTCACAAACATGTTGGGTATGTGTTTTAGACCATTTTCCCAAATTGTTTGTCTTTGATGGCGCTCTCTACTTAAGTGTGATTTGTTGACAGTATGGATAGCGTGAGTGGGAGCTTGCGAGACAGTGAGCCAACATCTCCCACTTCTCCAGGGTCACCTTCCCCAGATGTTCAGAGTCCTCGTTCAACCAAATTCACTACTCCACTAGCTTTAACGCAAGCACTTTCAAGTCTTCAACATGATTCATCAGGTCCACGAGGTGAGTTCATAAAATCTCTATGCCAAGAACTTACATGGCCTGTCCAGAAAAGTATTTCTAATTGCCTCTCCCTTTTTTCTCATATCAGCAATATCTCCATCGTGGTCTGTACCATCCCCTCCACCAATGATAACGTCACCTCAGTTCCTCCCAGGAGGAGGACTGTCAGCCCGTGCTTCATACGTTGGTCTGGACACATTTGATCATGAGGCTCTCATAACTATAGAGATTCTACTTGTTAGCCCTGATTGTCCAACGAACAATGATCCAAATGATCCCTCTCCAAGAGAAGCTCTTCAAATTGTCTCTGTCCAGTTTAATAATTTGGACATTATAGGTGAGTGTGATTTTTTTTTTCATTTTGTTCACAATATGAATTTACCACTTCACTTTTAAATTTTATTTCAGCAAATCAAGAAACTATAGTGGAGTTGATTGGCTTCAGTCGACGTGTGTTTCCTCAGCTGAAAAAGCGGTCTACAGCAACTCATGGCATGTATTAATTTGCATAATATGAAACTTGTGTTAGTGTGTGTTCACCAAACCAATTAATTGATTCTCTTTCAGTGCCTCGATCTTCTTCTCCCAGTGGTCGGTCTGCTTCTCAGAGCAGAACTGAGCATATGTCGCACAGTCCTAGCCCCAGTGCTGCCACTCAAATTCCTCAAGGCCTTGGATCGGCTTTAAGTCCTCCTACCGCTCGAACTGAATTATCATTTGATTTTCATCGGCTTAACGTTCTCCTTCTGCGAGCTGTATTGAAAGATAATGTTCACACGGGCAGGAAGATTGCTACTGCTACTATGTCAGAAGCTAAGATTCATGCCACTATTGGTATGTCATTGTTAAATGAGTCTGATTCCAGATTAAAAAATGGAATAGTTTCTAAAATTAAATTTTTGTAACAGGCCAACAGCTGGTGGTTGGAGGATCTCTAGGAGGACTCCAAGTTCTCGACTTGACTCCAGAAGGTCAGAAACATCAGAGAATTCTCAGCCTTGGTAAAGATCCCTTAGTATCTGATCGTCAACCAGACCTTGTTACTTGTTTGGGTGCTGATTTATACTCAATGGGTCAGCCTAGCGGCAGCACATGCCCTGAAGAAAAGCAAGTACAAGCTTTTAGCTTTTCAGTGAGTCGCTCTTTGGAGAGTATTGTGCCTGGCCCAGTTTCCTCAGGCGAAAGAGGCAAGTGGTGTTGTTTATTTAGTAATAAAATACAGGAGAGATATCTTCAAAATGACTCAAGTGAGTGTCGTAATGTGTTTGGGCAGGTCTCTCATCCAATCAACAGGAATCTGAAGCAGTGGATGTCAAAATACGTATGGCATCTGTCTTGTACACACATTCCCCATGCTTAGTCAATGAATTAGGGTCATGTGCTTCTGAATTCAAACAGTACCTGAGTAACTTGGCAAGCTCAATAAAATCTGCTGCAACTGAGATGGCACTTGGACTGGTGCATGCAAGGTATGGGATTCAACAGTAAGGACCCATTTCAAGTTTAATTTCTGCTTTGTCGCTCATATTGCTGTAATTTGGGTTTTGTCTGTTTTTTTCAGAGCTGAAGCTCTGGCACAAAGTTTGTACATGAGTAGCCGCTTGTCAGCCTCATTTTATGGTGGCTCTGGCTCAGAGCTCTCTTCACCAAAGCGTAGGAGAAGAAGTGTTTCTCGCTCTTCTGAGGTGTATGAATCTGTCTCGAACACCACCAACCCCTCATTATGCAACACTAAAGGAAATGTCACACCCACCAGTCCAGGTGACGGTGATGAGGATAGCCTTGCATCTGCCACTGAATTGAGGTATAAATTTCTCTTGTATCTGCCCAACATTCAAAATTTATAATGTTGATATGTTATTTCTCAAGGTTTTAAAAATCAATTTGCAGATTGGATGTGGTTTTAGATACTCCTGTTGTGGTAGTGCCACGATGTCCCACTAGCTCTGAAGTTTTAGTTGCTCACTTGGGAAAGATTTCAATCAGCAACATTCATGATAGTAATCCAGCAGGTGTTCAGGATAGTCAAGAGCACTTGTGGGGCACAGGCCAGTCAAAAGAGCAATACAGTATTGAGATACGAGATATGAATCTGTTTTCACTGGACACATTAAAAACTATTGAGAGTACTAAAAAGCCAGGAGGATTGCTTTCTCAGTAAGTTCTTAACTGACTTTTTGCTTTTATTTCTGATTTATTAACATTCAATCAATCTTTCCATGTCTATGATTACAGTGGACATGTAGATAGTTTACTTCGTGCTGAACAACTTTATGCATGTTCAGAGGCAGGAGTGCCTATTTTGCATGATACAGTCATCAAATTAGAAGTTGCTCGTGTTATGGGCTGTGGTATCATGCAAAAATCAGATAGTTTGTCATCTCTGTTACTCGATGACAACACCGCCGACTTTAACGAATATCAGTCACAAGACAGCCTACAGGTAAGGCGACATTCTTCTTTCAACAATGCTCATCTTCTCATTCTCATTAACACTTCTGACCAACCATTTTTCTCTTTTTAAAATTCTCATCATCACAACTTGCAGGTGTCTGGATCTGTTGTCACAGCTTTGAAGGTTTCACTGTCCCGTCAACAATATGAGCAGGTTCTAGATACAGTTAATAGTCTACTCACTGGAATGGTACAGCCGTGTAGCTCGTCTGTCATGTCAAGTTCTCAGTTAGTACAAAATACAGCCGCAGCAGCGGTACAACGGGCACCTTTGGGAGATATAGCTGAAGAGGAGTCAGACATGCATACTGGGGTTTCAACTTTAAATATGGATTCAACATTGCGTTCGAGAATGCTACATCAAGGACCTCCCACTGTTGAATATTCAAGGCCTGCACCCCCTCATCGCATCACAATAAAAGGTCTTGGCTTCAGTACTTTTTATGCGTTAACATGTTGAGTTTCCCTTGCTGACTCATGATTTTTGCTATTTCAGTTTCATTTGAACTGCCTATATTCACTTTGGAACTGAAAGGTGACCTAGGCAATGGGGAACAAGGTCTTGTTGACTTATCATGCAGTGACTTCAAGCTACAGTTTGAGCGCCAACGACCATATGAGACTGTGATAGAGGTTACATTTCCAACATTTAGTTATGTCAAACATCATTAGGCTAAACCATTTCCTGTTTTTTTTAAATTATAATTCGTGGTATGTTGGTTTCAGATGTCTTTGCGATCATTATTAATGGAGGATCTTCTTCAGCCACCTGATTCCAAACATCGGTTTTTATTAGTGTCCTCTAATGGTTCTGAAGCATCAAGAAGTCAATACTGTGATGTGCCAGCTTTTGTTTCCAAGTCTTGTCCTAATTTAAGTGGAAATTCAATTGGAACAAATAATTTATTGCATGAAAATTATTTGAGACCACACCATTATCATCATGGATCCCTTCCAGATCATCTAGAAAATGAGTCTGCATTTGTTTCATCAAAGGCTAAAGTTAGCCATCGTCAATCTAGTTAGTGTTTTGTTTTTTCTGTAAACTTTTTTTTTTTTTCTTCAGAGGTTTGGGTTATTTTCTACTTGCTGTTTGCAGGGAAAACTGCTCCATCTGGTGTGGGAGAATATCCCAGCACTCCACCACCCTCACCCCTACACCACAGTAGTGGGCGGTTGAGAGATGACACCCTAGTCAGAATCAATATTGTGCTAATTGACCGCAATGCACCTAAGCTGACATCACTGTTCAACAACATTCATCGGAGTATAAGTGTTGATTTTAATACTCTGGATGTTATTGTAAATGTGGAATCATGGGTGGTAATTTTAGACTTCTTTGGATTTGGTCCCTCTACTGGAGCACCTCAGCCAAAGGTCTGTAGGAAATGTTCTTTTTACTGGTCAAAGGTTTTACAATTTTTAAAGACTGTAACATTTATATTTTGTTTTGTATTTTTCATGTTGCAGGAACAAGTGGTCAAAAGTTCTGGTTCAGAGACTGTAGAAGGCACACAAGGTGATAATGTAAAACTAGAGCTGGAAGTATGGTCTCTGACACTTGTCCTAAATAAACCAGAGTATGAAGTAGCTCGAGCCAATGTGTCTCAACTGTCAGCAACAGTTGTTAATCGTAATAATAATTTATCATTGGATGGACGCCTTGGTAAAATGAGCTTGATGGATGCCACACCTCACTCTGCATTTTACAGAGAACGATTCATTTCCTCTGGCTCTGAAGCTCTTAATGTCCATTTCTTCAGGTAGGAATTACTGCTCTATGATTCCTTTTCAAAACTTAGTCTGTTTGTTTGTTTGTGTTTGTAGTTTTGCTTGGTTTTTGTGTTATAAAAATTATTTTGAAATCATAGGTTTGGGGCTCCAGATCCACTGCTTAAGAGAGAGTATGACTCTCAGCTGAAAATTGAAATGTCATCTGTTCTTTATGTCCACACACAACGCTTCCTTGCTGAAATAAATGCCTTCTTCCGACATTTCTCCCAGCTTCAAAATGTCCTTATCAACATTCGCTCTGCCAATCAGGTATAACTTGCTCGCTCATTGTTCAGTAGTTTCAAAATTCTTACGATTGTTAGAAAGGTTGTTTAGAGGATATTTTCCTTTTTATTTTTAGGTCCAAGAAAAGGCTGTTAGGAGAAGTCGGAGGCTGCTTGTGCTCACTGCAGGCTCTCCTGTATTGTTGTTACCATTAAGTTCCCACTCTACAGAGATACTTGTGGCAGATCTGGGAAGGCTGAGCATAACAAATAAATTTTTACATGCTGCCTCTCAAGGAACGATAAGTAAAGTTTGTGCTGAACCAGAAAAACCAAATGGTATGCTGTGTTTTGTGTTTATTATCATTTCTGATGATGCATATTTGTTGATGGTTTTCACTTTTGAAATTCTGTTAATTTTCCAAAACAGATTGGCCACTTCTTGATGTGATGCAAATTGATTTAGTGAATATGGATCTCTATGCGGGCCAACGCCTTCCAGCCTCCGACAATATGAGGGAAATGTCATTATTGCACCTAGGTAGCTTCGTTGTAGCCAAAAGAGGTCCTTCTCTACTTCGTGAAAAGTGCCAACTCAAGCTCCAGCTTGAAAGCAATCTTGATTCAATGCTTTCACATTCTGGTGGGTTTTGAGCTTTATCATGTTAACCAAATAAATTTTGCATATCAAGCTAACAAAGATATGTAACTGCTTAAATTTTAGTTCCTGATATGAGTGTACAAGGGACACTGTCAAGATTGAGTGCTGCCGTTGATTTATCACAGTACCGTTTAATTCGTGGTTTGCTATCATATAACATTGGGGAATGTTTGGATGACATTGATGTGCAAGTGGCCGAAACCAGTTTCAATAATTCATCACTTTCTGCCTTGGTATGTAACTCCCTTTTTAAAAATTTACTTTAAACTGATGGAACTTTTCCCCCTTGCCTTGTATCTTCTTACATTAATATAAATAATTGACGTTTTTAAAACTTTTGCAGAGTGCACCTTCATGCTCTGACGTTTGGATGCTCATGTCTATTCACCTGGATCTTGTTGACGTCACCTTGAAGCTTCAACTGAACCATGGCCCAGAACCATGGTGTGACTTGTCTCCTGGCCAAACCCATATTCCAAGTCAAGGAGAGGGCGAATCTTCTCTTGCTTGTATTAATTTCATTAAATCACGACTCACTGTTGAAACATACAGTGACAGATCACAAGATGTAGATCTGGTATCCCAGGAAATTCTCATAACTGATACAAGATTTCAAGATGAGCCTGTTAATAAGCGCTCGAATGTATTTACCAATATTCTGCAACCTATAAATATGATCTATTCAAAGGACATGGTCCAAGCAGAAATACATCATAGAAAACGTCGCGATTACTCAAAATTTACCATTTTACTAAATAGCATGCGTTTGATGGCCATCTTGGACTGGTGGGAAGTTATCAAAGATTTCATCTCGGAAAATGCTGAAGATCCTTTCACCAATTTGGAAAAGGTCAATGTCAGTAATGCTAAACCCATTCAAACTGATGAAATAGATGGTGATAATCCAGTTGTTCCATATGAACTGAAACTGAACATTACAGCATCTGAGGTCGTCGTTGTTGAAGACACCTCTCAATGGGATGCGAATGCTGTTATTTTAAAAAGTACAACAGTTGTTTCTTTCAAACCTGGTCAAAGGAATGAACCTCTATCATGTAATCTGAACCACTGTGAAGTATTTTCTTGCGTTTTGGGAATGGAGGATGAAACTGCATTGTCAATCATAGACCCAGTCACTATTAGTATGGATTTGAAGTGTCAACCAAGATCTCCCAATGATGATGTTAGAGGAAATCAAGATCAAGTCCTTGTCATCCAAACAACTGAACAACTAAATGTCAGACTCTCATACCATGATGTGCGCATGTTTATGCAGATGATATCGTCCCTCAAGCAACAGACGGTATCTGCAAGGAGTCAAGAATTCAAGATGCATTGTCGGCCTGCTAATTTTTCAAGCCAAGTATATAAGCTGTCTGCTCTCGGTTTTGAAACTGAAGACTGTGCTCAAGCTTTAGATAGGTGTGATGGTAAAATAGATGATGCTGCTCTGTGGCTGACCCAATATGCCGTCAATCGGCCGCCCCTCAATGTCCCAGAGCAGACCTCTGTATTATCATTTCAATTCATTCAAATGAATGTCAAGTGTCTCAGTATCTGTGTCATTGATGACTGCAGAGATGCCGATGTTCCGCTCTTGGAGCTCTCTTTGTCATCTTTAAATGCGGAGCAAAATTATTCCAATGGTGGTTGCAAGATTGAAGGTGTTCTGGCTAGTGATTACTACAATCGAGTGTTGTCTGGCTGGGAACCATTTGTGGAACCATGGTCATTCAAAATGCTATGGGACCGAGTGAGAAACAGTGATGGCAGTGAGCTGACAGGAATAACAGTGAAATCAGATGAGCTGCTGAATGTAAACATTACCAGCACTTTGGTGGAGCTGTATAAGGCAGTCAAAGAGAATTGGACTGAGGACTACTATTGCACAAACAACAGCCGACTGACGAGCAGCCCGGCAGGCCACCGGCGCCGCTCTCCGTTTGTACCGTTTGCTCTCCGCAATGACACTGGGTCAAGGGTGTTTTTTGCAACATGTGTTACTTCAGCCGACAGGTGAGCATGTGTACCACACGTCCATGTGCGCTTATATTGAATGGCCTCTGAATTAAATTTTTTATTGCCAGAGTTACCAAGCACAATACTGAAGACTCCAATGTGCAATGGATTCCAGTGGCGCCAGGAGCAACAGTGCCATTCACATTTGAAGAAAGAGGTACTTTGTCTTTTAAGAGATGATGGATTTTCAGCCCTTCCTGTAACCACTAGCAAATTAGCTCTGTATATTTCTTTGTAATTTTATTAGGAAAACTTCGTCATCAAAATACCCACAAGTATAAAATTCATCAACTGGGTATATGTGTTGAGGGATGGCGTCCAGTTCCACCCATTTCAGTTGATAAAGTTGGCATTTATTTCCGTCAAGCAGTACCTGAGTCTCAAAGATCGGTAAGTTATGTACAGTTTAATTGAGCAGATTTAGAAAGAGGAGTACCAAATGTCATATGTTCACCCAGTAGTTTGACCATATGTTCATTTATTTCTTAATGTGTAGGTAGAAGCAAGACTGTTGAAAAAACTGCCTCATCCAGGCAGTGGAGATGTATGTGAAAGTAATGTTTTTTTCTGGATGGGCCTGTGCTTTAATTTTGTTTGTTTATCTATGTGTAATTTTCTTTCTCTCTTTGTGGCTTAATTTTCATTCAGAGTTAATTAACCTTTTAACTTGCTTGATTGGAGTTTCGATTGAAGCATTCTATGTGATGTGTTTTGATAACCAGAAAATGTTACAGTATTTGCTTAGTCTAATACAGTTATTGAGTGGAATTCTCACAACACACGCTTTTGTTTCACCAATCTCACCATTTTGTCTCCTCCCAGCATCTAGATCTGCCTGGAGCTAGAGTGGTTTTGGAAGTAATCCTGGAAGGTTCTGCCCAGAAATTAGTAGTTGTGCGCTCTGCACTTCTGGTAAAGAATCAGCTTCAAGACCCTGTAGAACTGCGGCTTGAAAATACTTTACTTCAGGGCAGTGGTGAGTCCCAACCAGTGTCCTGTTTGGTGTCTATCTTACATTTCATTGAACTTTAAAACAATGAAGTGCTTTTTATATTACTTCTCTTTCAGCCTGGGCTGGAGTAAAGATGATTCAGATTGCTCCCCAGTCTGTAATGCCTATTCCTCTGACACATACATTGGCTCAGCTCTGGGTCAGGCCTGTAACAGGCAGCTACCATGCGTTTAGCTCTCACCCCATATCGTGGACAGCAGTGACGAAGCCAGGTGACACCATGGAGGAGACACATTCTTGCCAAGCCAATCGTGGCAACAGCTATAGGTTTGTAAAATTCTAACGTCTTACATCTTGTAAACATTTTTAATTTGAGAGAAAGTGTTGTCATAGTTCTTGTATCTCTCTCAGGTTTTGTGCTGCTGTCACAAGGGAGAATTACCCTTTAGAAAGGACAGGCCTTTGGGTTCAGCCTGCCCACACCATCACTCTTCTGTGCTGTGTTACTGTTGTCAACCTATTGCCTTATGACTTACACTATGCTGTTCAATCAAAAACATTGTCAGCCTCAAGAGCTAGTGGTGTAATTAAACCTGGTGGCCAAGACCCAGTTCGGGAAGTTGATATTGATGGGTCAATTGAACTTTCCTTCCATTTGGATAATTTCCCTGGTGCTGGAACTCTTGTTTTACCTCCACAACCCAGCAGCAGTTTTACCCAACGTTTGCGTTTGCATGATCTCTCTTCAAGAAGGCTGTTTCTGCAAGCAAGTGTACATGTCAATAAGGGGTCTGCTATCAAGGTAATTGTTGTAATTGAGTCTTTCTATTTATTTTTCTATCTTTTTTCTGTCTCTCAACCTTAGTTATTTTTTAATTTTTTTTTTTTTTTTGTGACCAGGTGGTTGTGTGGTCACCTTACTGGATTGTGAACAAAACTGGACTTCCATTAGTCTTTCGCCAAGAAGGGGTTCCTGAAGAAACTGCTGGTCAATTTGCTGAGCATGAGGTTGCCCGTATGGTTGCTCCTCTACTCTTTTCTTTTTCTGACCATGAAGCAAGCCCTACAATTGTTGCGCGAGTGGGAAGTGGAGTGCATACTGAAGGTGTTCCTCAGGTACAAACCACCAGTCTGTTTGAATTTCTTTGTATGTTAAAATTGTGAAGGTATAATTTCTTTCCCCTCTTTCTTTTTCAGTGGTGTGATCATTTCCATTTACACCCCGGTGTCCAGTTCTGCAGACTCCTAGTGTCATTTAGAGAGTCTCGTCCTGATGTTATATATCTGATGGGGGTTGAAGTGAAGACAGGACGTGGACGGTACCGACGTACAAATATTGTCACTTTGTCACCTCATTACCAGCTTTTCAATCGATCAAGCTACAAACTTCAGTTTGCTCAAAAATATTTTGCTACTACTCTGGTAAGTCTCTTTCTTTCTCATGCTTCTAAAATTTGGAAATACTTTTAATCTAAATTTTGCCTTCTGTTCCTCTAACATTTGACAGAGTGACCCTGGAGCACAAGCCACTTACCTGACAGCTGTACCCAATTGCTGTCTGCCATTCCACTGGCCAAGGCAAGAGAAAGAACAGCTGCTTTGTGTGCGACTCTTGGCTGTACCAAACTGTCTCTGGTCGGGAGGATTCCGTATTAATGTGACAGACTCCCTACATGTCAATATCAGGTAAGAAAAGGTTACATTCCCATCCTTCTTTGCCATATTTTCTTATCCATTCATTGTCTCATTCAACTCTTTTATTTTCATGTTTTGTAGGGATCGAAATGGAAGAATGTACTTCCTCCGTTTAGAAATTGTTCTCCAAGGAGCCACATACTTTGTCGTGTTCTCTGATGCAAACACAATGCCGCCACCCATTCGAGTTGACAATTATTCAGAGGTTCCCTTGTTATTCTATCAGGTGGGTCTAGTTCATAGAGGGTTGCGAGGGGTTGCGTGATTGATTGATTGATATTTACGATTTTTATAACACTTTTTGTTTTTATTTATGTTTAGAGTTGCGTACAGGTTGAAAGTTTGCAATGGTCTATTCGACCCCATCTCTCCATGCCTTATGCATGGGATGAACCAACCCAAGGTCCTAGCATTTCTTTAGTGGCTCCTGGTGGTGCCACAGCTTCCTATGACATGAATGTCTTAGGGCGAGGGAGAGATCTCACCTATGAGAATTTCATTTACATTGCCTTCACGGGAACATTCAAAAAGTAGGTCAAGTTTGTTGATGATCAAGTCTTGTCCAAGTTGCGGGAAGAACCTCCAAGATGCTCATTCCATTTTATCCTTGCAGTGTGTCTGATGGCCCCTTTGATCCACTGGATGTGGAAGGACAACAGCTAGTTCTTGACGTGCCACCTGGGGGCACTAGAGTGGTGCTGGCTCGCAAAGAGCAAGGAGCTCGATCCCAATTGTGGCGCATGACTGGGGAGGGCCAGCTGCAACATGAAGGAAGCTCGCCTCCTCGAGATCCCCACCGAAGTCATAGCTTCGGCAGCAGCTCCACATCGTCATCTGACAAAATTCTTGTATTGGACATTGCTGGGCCAGCGCCTCAGCCTTCCCAATATGTCGGCCTCACGCTGCGCCGCGTGGACAACAGACGCAAGTCGACACAAACTTGGCGATTCACAGAAGATGGGAGATTATGCTGCGCGCATAACAATATGTGTGTTCAGGCGAAAGATGGCTTCTTTGGTCTGCGTCAAGGTATGTGTGGCTGGTTGACTTGTTCTGTTCCGGTAGCTTAAGCTTTTATAATCTATGGGAAGTTGGAAAGGCGAGCTATTTAATGACAGCTTAAGTGTACCTGTTTAATTATCTGCTTTTATTGAGTTGTGTAGCATCATTCATGTTCAGTTTCTGGCTGCATCTCAGTATTCACTTATTTTCCATTTTATTACTTTTTAAAAATTTGTTTTATTTTTAAAGCTAGCTAAACAAAACTTTGATTGCTTGCTAAAAATATAGTCAATCTTTGTCTTTACTTTATGATGCAATGTCCCTGTATTGCATTGGCTAAGTTTATGGAGTATTGTATTTTTGTTTGCATGCATGGAGGGTTGCATGTAAGTGCTTGATGCATGTATGCTATCCTGGTGTTCCAGGAGCGTCTGGCGATTTGGGGTCTCGTTGGCAGCAGTGTATGTTTTTCTAGTGTATTTCTATTTGTACTCTTCTCTTATAAGATTGCTTTCGTCACATTTCTCTACTTTCTCGAATGGTCTTATCTTGGTCTACTAGATTACGCTTGGTGCATTAGGTTACATTGTATTTCCTAATTTCATACAATTTTATCACTGATTCAAATGTTTCATACGTTTTTTTCTTTGCTTTCTCTTTTTGACAACACTACTTTACTTGAATTTGACTTTGCAGGGTGTGAAGCTGTCCTTGGGCCTCCCCAGCCTGTCACACACAGGTTGACAGAGGAAGGTGTTCCTCTTGAACAAGCTGTCAGCCGTCAGCGTTTGAGACCAGGGTCAGGATTTTTGGCAGTAAATGTACTGACAGATGGTCCAACTCGAGTTTTGGAAATTACTGATATAAAATCCAAGGTAGGCTTGAATGACTTCATCCTGTTCAATGACACAGATAAGATGTGCCTACCTAGTCCCCTCTAGTTACACCTAAAACTAAATTATTGGTTTTGTGCCTCTCTCCAGCAAAAATATGCTCTTCTGGAGGAGCGTGATTGGGCCCACATATCAGCAACACAGAGACCTTCATTGATTCACAACGATCTGGGTCAATCTTCCCCAAATGAACGTGTTGACATAAATGTGAGTACAAAATGTTTACAAGCCTTTGCATCATTTTGACTTCAACCACAATTCACTTTTTTCTTTTCGTCTTCCAGATATGTTTGTTCCTTGAAAGAGGCTTAGGCATATCAGTTGTGTCACGTCAACCCCCCGAAGAGCTGGTTTTTATTAGACTTGTGGGCATAGCTTTAGAACTCCAATTAGGATCAGACTCTCAGAAAGTTTCTGTCAGTGTGGAAGACATTCAAGTTGATAACCAGTTATATAATGCCCAATGTCCTGTTCTTCTTTATGTCAATCCCACAACCTCTAAAAGGGGAGGTAGCCTAGAAGCCCCACAACCAGCCATTGTTCTTGCTGCAGAGCGTCTAACAAGCCCCAACATCAATGCTGAGATTTTCAAGGTGATTAAACTGTTCTTCATTTATTCATCAGCTGCTCCAATTATGTTGTTGGTATTAATGTTTTTTTTTTGTTTTTTTTTCTGTGTTCTAGTATTTGACAGTTGTGATTACTCGTCTCTGTCTGAGTATTGAAGAATCATTACTATTGAAGCTGGTCATCTGGGCAGGCTATAAGCCATCTATACCAGTGCATGAAGATGTGGGTGAAAGTGAATTTGAGACCCAACGTATACTAAGTGAAGCTACATCCATACACGCAAAGCGGTACTACTTTGGTCACATGCAACTTATGCCAAGTGAGGTATGTACAGGATGTTCTGGATTTTATTTTAAATTTGTCTTCACAGATTTTCACTTTGATTCTGTATCACCCTTATTTTGAATTTCAGTTCCGGCTCAGTGTCTTTACAAGTAACAAACTTCCACCTGAGCTTCAAGCTGTGAAACGCAAGCTTGGCTTACGTCTGATCAAGTTTGAAGATGCATGTGTTGATTTGGGTGGCTTTGTTAAACAACACCCCTTTGAGACTAGTCAATTTTTGTTCTCCTCTATTGTCAAACACTACCAGCAGGTTTGTTGCAGAATTTCCTACGATTGTTTGGTTATTTTCTGTTGCTAGATTCTGACTGCCTTCTCTTTACAGATGCTCAAATGGAGGGCTCATAATATATTGGGCTCCAGTGATTTCTTGGGGAATCCAGCAGCCCTTGCATCAGATGTTTCAGAAGGGTTTTCAGGATTAATCTTTGAAGGCAGCGTGAAAACTCTGGTGAAGAATGTTGCACATGGACTTACAAATTCCACTGCTAAGTTCACTGGTAATTACCCCGAACCCAATCGACTTTATTATTATTGTTACTCCATTGTGGAAGAAACATTTATTAAGTTTATTCCATTTTTCAGAGTCTTTGGGAGACGGTTTGGGTCATGTAATAATGGATGAGCAGCATGATGAAGCTAGAAGGCGAATGCGAGGTGGAAACACTGTAATGGAACATTTCACCTCTGGTTTGAAGGGTCTTGGATTTGGTGTTCTCGGTGGAATAACAAGTGTCGTGAAACAGACATGGGATGGAGCTGCAAACGATGGAGTGCCGGTAGCTATACAAGTTATTTTTGTGCTTTGTGTTTCGTAAATTAACTGTATTTTTAAATTTTACCAAGGTGTTTTTTTTCTTTACTTCCTAGGGTGCTGTTACTGGAATGGCTAAAGGTCTAGTGGGAACTGTAACAAAACCTGTTATTGGTGTTCTGGATTTTGCATCTGAGGGTGCAAGTGCTTTCCGAGATCTTTGCCGTGACTCAAATCGATTGAGTCCAACGCGTTATCGTACCCCGCGTTGTGTGGTTGGTCCGGGAGGTTTGCTGCCTCCGTACTCGGCCAAACAAAGTGAAGGTCAAGAATTTCTGTACACAATTAATGAACGAAACTATTCTGAAATGTAAGGCATTGTGAACCATGTTTCATTTTATATTGATTTGAATCCTTGTTTTCAGACTTAAATTAAATGGATCTTTGTGTTTCAGATTGATGGCCTATGAAGTACTGCTGAGTGGAACTGAAGATTTGAGAATCCTTGTGTCAAGTGAGAAAGTGAGGGTTTTCTCTTGTGCTGGTTCCCAGTCTGGAAGTCAACCAAATGCTACGGTTGTTCTTCAAGCTCTACTCAGGTACTTACATGTTGTAGTGTGTAACTTAATTAAATTAACTTAAAAACAGGACACTGACACTCCTTCCTTCATTTAATGCTTTGCATACTTTTGTTTTCTAGTGACCTTTTTGAATGTCAACCTGTCGCTAAACAAGATGGATCCAATACTTTGCATTTTATTGAGCTTACAATACGAGCTGATATCAGTGGTGGTGCCAGTGGGGGAACCTCTCAAGAATCTATCAAGCGTCCATTGGTTCGGTGTAACTCGGAAAGAGTCTCTGTATGGGTATGTTTAATGTTTTTATTCCTGTTTTTGTTGACAGTCAGATATCTTTTTGCCATTTTTTAAACAAATGCTAATTCTAAAATGATTTTTGTAGGTTTCTCAACAAGTTAATTATGCAAAAGAAATGTTTGAAGAAAGGCGGTACACTCTCTTGAGGAGCTCATCAAATTTTATGGATGAGTGACTGCTTTTTAATTTTAAGACCTGAATATCCACACTCAGACAATAACAAGTCGTAGATGAGAGAGTATCTAATGGATACATTAGTATCTAATGAATACATTAGTACTTGTGTAGAAAAGGGCGTATTATTTTACGTTAATTTTACTTTTGTTTGTAAACAATTTTTTTTTATGAGCAAAGAAGTTAATGGAGTGATCTGTATGGGATAACTGCTCTTGAGCAATCAATAATTGTACAGTCTACTATTAGAATGTTATGGAATACATTGAATCCACTGAATGCATACTTTAATTTCTTTGACTGATAGGTAAGGCTTTTGAACTGATATTTTTTATGAAAACCAACTGAAAATGTTATTATGTTATTATTATTCATATAAATTGTGGGTGCGGTGCAGAACTAACCTTGTGCCTGAAATTTCAACAGTTGTATATATTGTGTTTACTGATGTCATAACTTTTGTAGATTTAGACTATGTTATGGCTTATTTTTTAACGCTTACTGCCTTCATGTAAATGCCTGAAAAAAAGTAAATTGTGATGGTGCCAACTTTCCACCAAATCTCTTGGCTGTAAACCTGTTTAAACCAAAGTTTTTGTTTTATCTTCAACCTGCTAAGATACCGTGCCGCAGGTTCGGCCATAGTTGTTTCTAATTTATTCTTGTTATTTGTTTATGCAGCCACTTAGTATGATAGAGTAGTGTAAGAAATTAGTTAGTGTGGAGTCAAAACGCATTATAACGTAAAACTGATGATGCAGATCAGATTAATAAATGCCTCACACAATATTTTACTATTAAAAAATTAATAATCTTCCGACTGCATTTGCAATCACCTGTGAAAATAGAAGAATTCCTTTGAGAATTTTAAGTTACCTTGTTCTCGATTTCAGATACCATGCTACTGTTAGTTCTTTGTAGTTTGTTTCTTTAAGGAGTTTGTGTTATGCTTCAACTCCTCTCAATTCCTTTAGATTTTTGAAAGTTTTGTTATTTTCAATCATGTTTTGCAATCTAAGTTTCCTTACTAGTAATTCGTCTTTTCTTTTACATTTTACCCTGTCAACTTTCATCTCTGAAAGTGGTTAATGTAAATTGCACTGACACACTTTCGAATCAAATATCGGTATAACAAAGATTGGTTGTGATACTATCATACATTATTTTTAATTATGGTGTAAAGTGGTCAAATAAAACGGTCTTTATATTTTTAATGAGAGGAGCTCTGTTACTCTTTCACCCAAAGCACCCTTCCTTATTACTTCCCTAGGGAAGTAATCACAAATCACAGCTGTGATTAAAAACAAGAACCTCGCGCCTTGCACCTGATGGAAGTTCGTCCCCGAGGGAAAGAAACCGCAAAATGTTGGGCTCCGGACAGGCGTCGGGAAAAAGGGTGGGCGACGCGGCGTGGCCGTGGTCGTCCCATTGCGTATCGCGCACGGTGCGTACCCCAGGTGCGCGTGGCGGGGCGGGGCGTGGCGCGGCTATCATGCTTGATCCAGTCAAAGGAGAGACCCCGCCCGCGCACCGGACCTGGACATTCGTCATCGTAAAACGTCCCGGACTGACACATAAACCCCCTGCGAGCAGAAGCTTGGCCGGGGCGGCAGGCGGCAGGAACGCTGGTGCAGTGGCCGGGCGAGTTCGAATAGGGTACTTTCGTAGAATCCTGAACCGGAAGCAAGCAGACCAGCAGACGCCAAATTGGCCGGAAACTAACCTCTCTTCGGATCCAAAACTATAGCCGAGCTGTACAAATATTGCTCGCGAAACACATATGCACTGCAAACAAGTATCAACCGACTCTTTATGTTCAAGTGTGGCCGATACCTTTGACGAACGTCTCTTTCCCATGTCAAGTGTGGATCTACTTCCGCCAACATGGCGTCTGTGTGCTTCCGGTTCAGGGATCTACGAAAGTACCCTATCCACATGACATGACAGTGACAGCAGACGCAGGGCGGACTGCGCGGCGCCGCTGCCGCGCCCATCCGGACAACTTGAACAGCTGGGGCTCCCACACACATTCAGTATTACGCATCAAAGATGCAGTGGTATTAATATGTTGTTTTTAAAAAATGATATTGTTTTTGAAAGTAGGAAAATTGATTGACTGCAGGCGTACTTCAAGACAAACCACCAACCTGGGGGGGGGGGGGGGGGCGGCAACGTGGAAATACACAATACAATATTTTCTCAACAGACCAATAAACAAAAACAAACAAGAAAACTAGAAATACAGCACTCTAGAGATGAGAAAATGGTGCCGGGACAACGTGCCGCTACTATTGTGGCCGAGAATTTTGTTGTTGTTGATCGATTTTCCGCCCCTCCGTTGTTCCCGTCGTCCCGGCGTCCCCTCCTTGCGTCTTGTACGCACCAGTCGCCACACACATTGCTACACGGGCCTCATTAATATAGTGCGGCCCCCGCGGGGTAGGCTGGTAGGCCGCCCCGCCGAGCAGGCCTCGTCGGGCCGGGGAAAGTGTGTGTGAGGGGGAGGGGGAGGTAGGGGCAGACGAGCGCCACCAACTCGACGTGTGTAGACGAGCATAAGTGCAGTGGAGGGCGGCGTGACAATAACTCGTCATTTTTCACAATCCCCTCTTCCCCCTCCTTCCGCCTTTCCCTTTCATCGCCTCATTTTTCTCCCGCCTCGCCGCGCCGGGCCGCTCACTCCATCACCAAATCCGCAGCGCCACACCAAATTTGTCGCCAATCGCAGTGGACTCTGCAAAACAAAACAATAAAAATAATTAAGTCGGTTAAGGTTGGTACAGCGCCTTCCGGAGGCAGCCCTGCTCGACGGGACTGCCTGCCCACCATTACCATTACCATTAAGGGCTAGACCACACATGATCGTATGCCCACCAGGCGCTCTCCCGCTCTGCCTGCGGCCGACCGTCCTGCTCTTCGTTCCACACTTTGCACCACTACATCTTTATCCGAGAGGTTCGTCTCGTCACCGAGGAATCAATCTGCGGCCGCTGCTACGCTGCTTTCGTCTGCTACGCTGCTTTCGTCTGCGCGTTTCTCTGTCTCTCTCTGGCTCCATCCAAGTACCCCCTTTCCCCTCCCTTTTCCCCCGCTCCGTCGCCGCCGTGTCCATCTCCACACTCTCCACTGTCTGTCTCTGTCTATCGGTCGTTCCCAGAAAGCGCCCGTCTCGTGCGTGCTCCGTGCTCCAGCGAGGGAGCGAAAACAAAGAAAATGAACTGAAACGAACAAAAACAAACAAAGGCAAAGACAGAGAGAGACGGAAAGTTGATAAGGGATCATCACTTTGCCGCGACTCTCTGCTTTATCTTTATCACGCTCTTTGGTAAATGAATTCCGCGTCCGAAAAAGAGTTCCGAAAAAAAGGCGCTGCCGCTTCAGGTTTCTGATTTCCACGGCGAAGCTCCCCATCCTTTTCTTTTCTTTTTTCACAGTGGCCGTGCCCGTGGGGAAGAAGCTCGCAGGACAAGCCCTCGAGGGCAGTGATGTGTGTCGTCTGCACCCTCCCTTCGCCCTTCGCTTTCTCTGCGGACTGATTCCGAGAGTCGTTCTCGTCGCTCCGTCTCTCTCGCCCCGACACGGGCCGCCCCGTGAGTGCGAGAGAGACAGAGCGACGGAAACGACTCTCGGAATCCGTCTACTGCGGACTTTCGGCCGCTTTCCCGCCGCGCGTAACGGCGCCCTTTATGACCGGCGACGATTGGCAGTCAATGTTTCCGCCCATAATTTCGGAGCCGCGGGGGAGAAGGGAGAAGGCTAGTCTTGCTGATGTCATGCCATCCAGGGAATCTCGGGAATCCCGGCGCGCGCCCGGACCCAAAGGGTGAAACAAAATACCCGTTTAACATTAAACACTCGGTGAAGATTGGTTAGGGGTCGGTTCGGGGAGTGTCAACTTCTAAAATAATTTGACGAGGAGTCTTCAGAATATGTAAACAGCGAGGAGAGCAAAGTTCCGGCCGGAAATGGAATTTCACAGCCAATGTGTTTTTTAGCACAAGGCTTTTGACGCTCGGCGGCTTAAAGAGATAGAGACACGTGCATCAAGTTGTAGTTCCTGTTCGGTTGGACAGATGTTGCGCCTCGTTGTCTGCGATAACAGACTCAACCGGTCCCCCCCCCCCCGGTCCGGCCGAGGGCTGTAATTGATTAATTCGTTGGCGTTCAATCAGACAGGTTTGTGCTGCGCGGGGCGGCCGCGCCACGGCGGGGGCGGGTGGACAAACACACAGGGACAGACAGACAGACAGACAGACGGACAGCGCAAACAGGCGGGGCGGTACACATGTCGACGCACGTCCGCAGCGCACGTCGCGCATGCATGTTGATACAGTGTTAAGGAGGGGCAGTCGGCGGACGCAGGACGCACTGCGTGGCGTGGGTGCCTCTCGTCGAACGCTTTTCGTTTTTCGGAAAATGATGAAAAATGATGACTGCTTGCTGCGTTTGGGTGGCTGGCCGGCGCTGCTGCAAGCGGCACTGTAGGCGAGATGGCGGGCACCAGCACTCGCGGCTCGTCTACCTGGCTGTGGACGTCGAGGCCCTGCCCCCGCACCCGCAGTAGACTGATTCCGAGAGTCGTTTTCGTCTCTCGCACTCATGGGGCGTCCGTTACAGGTGCGAGAGAGACAGAGCGACGAACACGACTCTCGGGATCGGTCTGCTGCTCGAGCCGGGCCGCCGCTCCGCCCCCGCAGTGCCGCGGTAACAAAGGGCGACATGGGGCCTCGCCGACACGGGGTCGCCGTCCCGTCCGCCGCGCCTCGCCTCGCCCCGCCCCGCCCCACACTTGAAGATAAATCATGCGCTTATCGCGGAGCTTTCTTTCCCCGGCTGCCAACCCGTTCCTGCGGCTCCTGCCCCCCGACACCGAGAGCCAGATTGCAGCGGGGACCTGCAGGGGGCGTTCGTCCCCGATCTCCCCCGCGCCGCCCGCGCCGCGGTACTCGTACCTTCTAATCCTTCACCGGCATCGCGCCGGCATCCCCCAGGCGCTCAAGCGGACCGATTCCGAGAGTCGTCGCTTTGTCTCTCTCGCACGCATGGGGCGTCCCGTACAGGTGCGAGAGAGACAGAGCGACGAGAACGACTCTCGGAATCAGTCCGCTGGCCGCTCCAGCCGAGGCTCCAGCCCCCCGGGCTCGGCGAGACGCCGCCGCGTAGGAACGTCACCCGCGGCAGTGTCTTCATCCCCCCCCTTTTCACCCTCACCGCCACGGATGGAATATTGCGGCTGTTCCATCCAATCTCTTTTATTGCGTTCAGACTGCTTGCCGGTCCCGCTGGCTGCCGGGATGCCTCGCCGCGGCGTGGGCGGGGGCGGGGCGGGGACGGGGATGGCTCGGATGACTGTGAGCGGACTCGACTTGAGTCCTGGGGGACCCGGCCGCGAGCCACCAGCACCACCAGCACTCCATCGAGGGGCAGGCGGGGCAGGGCCACGACTGCAGCTGCGGAGAATGGCAAGTTCCGCTCGCGGGGGGGGGGCGGGGGCCGCGTGGGTCGCGGGGAGGCTGCGACCTGTTGCCGGCCGGGGGCAGCTGCGAGGCGGCGAGCATCCCTCGGACAGTTATTATTAGCCGCTTTATCACATTATTATTTTTAAAACTAATTTCGGCGCTGTCTGGAGCGTGCAGCCAGTGTAGCTGGTGCGGCGAGCACGGCGGGGAACATTGCGTTGGCCAGACCGGCGCGCCGGCGTGGCGCCGCGGACAAGGCGGCCAGGCCAACCGAGCCAGAACCCTCCCCCTCCCACTATGCCCGCCACTGCCACTCCACTCCAGTCCAACGGGACGGAACGGCACCAGTTCGATAGGCTACATTATTTCCGATGGATATTCCCAGCTTATCCCCGGGCGCCACTCTGTAGCCTCGTCGCCGACTCCCTTCTGCCTCCGCGTCATCGGCTCGCCGGGAGGAGGGGAGGGGAGCGGGAAAGAGAAAGGGGGAAGAAATTTGGCGTCGGGCCGCAGAGCAAAGTCGCAGTCCAGGAACGTTTTGGCGGCCTACTAAACCTTTAAAATCATCGTGGTTTTGCTGAAAACAGTCCAAACAACCGATAAAACCTATTTCTATTTTACTACGTGTCCCGACTAATTCCGTGAGTGCATACCCCTGGTCCAGCCCTGCTGCCAGTGTACCCTCCAAAGCTGGGGAACTCGAAGCGCGCAGGCTGCTCAGGGCGGTGATGTGGTGCAAGTTCCGGCGGTGGCCGAGTAC